CTTTTCTATTTTGAAGAAATTTTCAAAACCGACTCAAACCATGTTTTTATTTTCAAAACCGACCCACTTTTTTTTTATTAATCAAAATCGACCCACTTTTTGCCAGCTTAATCTCACTCTTAAGCAGTCGGGGTTGGCAACTCCGACTGTTTAGGAGATTGTTAAACCCTAATTAGAATCCTAAACCCGTTTTTTGCTGTTCTAAATAGTCATGGTTGGCAACCCGACTAATTAAGAAATGAGATTAAGCTAACGTGGCAAAATGTGAGTCGATTTTGATAAATAAAAAAAATATGGGTCGGTTTTGAAAATAAAAACATGATTTGAGTCGGTTTTGAAAATTTCTTCTTTCTATTTTATTTTTGCCGCCACCGCAGCCTCAGACAAGGATGCCGTCAAGGAGCTCAAAGGACCCCACTTACGAAAAGGCAAAAAAAAATGCCCCTGTTCACTTATTCCAGGTTGGATGAGCGTGTGTATATATGCGACTTCTCTTCATCGTGAGAGCTATCTTCGTTGTGCAAGGGAGTAAAGCAAGAGCTTAGAGCTCAGAGCAGAGCAACAACCTCGAAGCTAGTTCAAACTAGTGGGAGGTTGCGTGCAGAGATGGCAAGAGGAAAGATACAGATGCGAAGGATTGAGAACCCGGTGCACCGCCAGGTCACCTTCTGCAAGCGCCGAGCAGGGCTGCTGAAAAAAGCAAAGGAGCTTTCTGTGCTGTGTGATGCCGAAATCGGCATCATCATATTCTCCGCTCATGGAAAACTCTACGAACTGGCCACAAAGGGGTATGCTCATGTATACCGATGACTCTTTGATCTTCTACGCAGTAGCCACGCATGAAAACTACTTTTAACTTCCCTTAGTCCACTGATTACTGAGATCAAATTTCAGTGTTTAAACAATTACAAGCTTTCCTCTTCACTCTTCAGCAATAAAGTCATTCATGAGCTATCTAAAAATTTAACCGAACGCTAATGAATACTGTAGACCACGTTCTTCTTTCTTAATGGCAATGCATGAAAATTGATCCCAACATTTTCCTTAGTTCAATGATTCTTCAGATCACTAATCAGTTTGTCTACAATTACCAGCTTTACTCTTCTTATTCGTCAGCTATTCAATACTTCAAATTTTCAACAAAAATACATAGATCATCAAAATTCCTTCTCAATACGTCAACGATAACACAAACTAATTTTCGTACTCCGAAACGCCAATTGCGTTCTAATTCTGAACCTCAGCGCAATTGTCCTAGCTGCTGAACTCAACCATTACTTAAGGCTAAGGTTTGCTTAGAATTGTTTGGTTACAATTGTGCTGATGGAATTTGGGGTTTGATTTCTTGAAGGACCATGCAAGGTTTGATTGAGAGGTACACAAGGGCACAGGGTGAAGCTAAACTTGAAGGAAGCGATGAGAACATACTTCAGGTATCTGCAGAATTTCATTTTGTTCAACTTATTAGTATGTCAAAATTGCTTGATTCTGGAACTCATGGGGCACTATGAATATAGTAAAAAGAGGTGCATTGTAACAGTATACCGCATGTATTTTT